GGGAAGAGTATGTGGTGATTACTGGGGTTTAAACATTGCAAATATAGTGTGGCGACAACTTGGTTTTAACAAAGCTGTCAACTGGAGTTACAGACAAGGAGAGGGACTAGTCTGTCAAATATGTTAATACTTTCGTAATATCAAATAAATTACAGCTATCTAGCATTGCATTTTTCTAGTGATAAACAATTCTTGAAGATAATATACGATTCATGCCTGGGGTTACTGGTATTGTTCAGGTATAATTTCATGGAAAGTGGGGAACAGTGTGTCATGATTCCTGGGAATGGAACGACGCCAATGTTGCATGTCGACAACTTGGTTTCACCAAAGCTGTAACTTACTGGACCGGTGGACGTGGAGAAGGACCAATCTGGCTGGACGACATGGCATGTAAAGGCTCAGAGGCTTCACTAGGGGACTGTCCTCACCCTGGATGGGGAGTTGCTGACTCTGCTTGCAAAACTCACATATATGGTGCTGGCGTTACGTGTTCTGAATATCTTAAGGACTAGCCTAGAACGGAATGGGGTAATGTTAGCTCATGGTACAAGGGTCACTGTAATGGAATAAGATGTCGTTCTCGATATCAAACAAAAGTTCATGTCATGGACAGTTTTGACTTTCAATGTCATCCATGGAGAGATGATAGAGCTTTTATAAAAGGCACACTTAAAACATAAAATTCAAAATTCAAAAAACGGCATGAACTCATCAAGTTGCGAAACAAAAATATGAAATGATAATATAATTAGATAACAAATAGGAATATATTATTTGTGGTATAGATTGACATTTTTGAAATTACCTTGTTAGTATAAACTAAAACAGTTATTTTGATCATTCTTGGGAGCTTTAGAATCAAATTCTTAAGAATTATTTCCAACTAATTCTCCTTTATTTTCGTTATGCTTAGTTTAGATTACATGCAATATACAACACAATTCTTAGTTATGCATATATTTGTAATTTGATTTGATTATCACCGAAAAGTAAAATGGCTGTTTTAATAGAAAACGCTATCAAAACCGTAACCAAATGTTATATGGCAAAAGAACAATTTTGGTCGGACGGGGAACCAGAACACTCAACCAAAACATCGTCAGTGTGAACGCAATTTGATCTGACAACTCCCCATCCAGCGTGAGGACAGTCCTGAAGTGAGGCCTCAGAGCCTGTACACCCCATGTTATCCAGCCACACTGGCCACTTTCCTTGTCCATTGCGCCAGTAATTTACAGCTTTGGCGTAACCAAGTTGTCGACAGGCAACCTTAATGGCATCATTTATATCCCAAGAATCCTAACAAACTGTTCCCCACTGACCATTGTAGTAGACTTGTATACAGTCAATTCAAAAAAACGTTGTCGTCGACTGGCTCAAGCCTACGCGACTGGACCGAAAGGAATATGGGTAAAAATCACTGAAGCGGTTAAATATTCGTTCTGAATTAATTGTTCCCGCTAGAAATAAGATAATAATGCGAGAAACAATCCATCAAATGCATGTCTTCGGGTTTAGGGAAAGAAAAGCAAAGTAGTTATGATTCAGTTCACAATTCCGAAAGTATGAAGGCATTTAAAAAACGTCTCCTTCAACACTTCCCGCTCGCCTACGAAGGTTTGTGCTGTAAACCAGGTATCTAGTCAGATAAAATTATGGAGTCAACTCGGCTTCAATGATTGCTATCCAGAGTTCCTTTCGGTCCAGTCGCGTAGACTTGGAGTAGGTTGACGACAACATTTTTTGAATTGACTGTAACACCTTGTATCCCTTAAGTAGTATATTTCTCATGCTGGATTCGGGGTTGTAAGTTCTCATTTCTTTTATTCTTGTTGATACTTATACAATTAGTCACCAAAAACTAGAGAGCTGAGATTACTGCGGATCATGGGAAACTTTTCATATCAAACAAGTAAAGCTTTTTGACACAAACTGCAGCTTGAGAATGCTCAGAAGAGACGAGGACGTAACTGGTAAAATATGTGCAAGTTCATCAACGCTATCAAGCGGTGGAAACATGTAAGATGTTTCTACCCGTAATCCTTGTCGGTCTCGCCTTTGTAGCATTTCAGGTGACTAACTTTATTGAAATGAGTATATATGATTTTTGTTACAACGAAATCCTGAGACTTAACACAATATTGCTTGGTGTTAATGGTATAGTTCAAGTTTTCCACGGTGGAAAGTGGGGAACAGTGTGTGATGATAACTGGGAATGGAATAATGCTAAGGTTGCATGTCGACAACTTGGTTTTACCAAAGCTGTACTTCGTTGGTGGGATATGTATGGGGAACAAGGACCAGTCTGGCTAAACAACATAGGATGTACAGGCTCAGAGGCCTCACTTGAGGACTGTACTCATGCTGGATGGGGAGTTGTTAGCTCCAACTGCAATGGCCACACTGAAGATGCTAGGGTTCAGTGTACTGGATACCACCAGCAATTTGTTCCTTTGGCATATAATATTTCGTTTATATTTAATTTTCCTTCTCTACCAAAAACAGTCTAATTATAAACATAACTTCTCTTTATCTTTCCTTTTGTACCGTTTTTGATTCTTTAGGTGTGTTTAAAGCATAGGGAGATTATCAGCGGTACCAGAAAGGATTCCTTTACTTTTCCACCTCCTTTTTATTCATATCAATTTTTACAAATGTTTCCAAGGACAACCTTTCTACCTTTCATTGCTCAGCTACGAAATTGATTTTATACTAATTTTCAT